AACCAACAACCTTCTGATTGGTGGATGACCCGCTCTGCCTCTGAGCCACAGCCGCCCATACTTGATGAATGTTCTACAAAGCAACGAGTCTTGCTAGTTTATTTATTTTTTACCTATCAACTACCTATTCACAACACTAACATTACCTCCTCTGTCTTAGGCCTAGAATATTGGCAGAGGTGAGCCATGAAGGATATGGCCCAAGAGGAAAAGGTTAAAGGAATAACATTTACCTCTTAACTTGAGGTATGCTTGAACTGCAATATATACAGTTGTCTTTTTGAGAGAAACATAATATTCCACTGTGCAGGACCTAAGGCAAAGCACACATTGCACAACATGACAATTAACCATTTACGTGCCTTTGTGCCTTTTTCCTTTTTAGATGAAGCCAGAGGAACCTTCGAGGAGTTTATCCAGGGTGCTGAGGTACTCCCTACTGTGGCAGGAGAGATGAGGGAAGGGCACAAGCCAGACAGACTCACCAGGCAGCCGGAGGAGACCTATTTCAAGTCTTGGGCAATTATACAACCTACAATTCTACTCGTGTTTGGTTCTTTGTGTTGCAGCCTACCAGTCAGGGTAAAGAAATGTTTGTAGCAGAGTTTGTTTCCACGGCCAAAATGTTTGTATCCGTCATGTGGAGTTACAAACAAACAAATCCATCACAGTGATAGTTCACAGTATCAAAATACATGTACATTTTCTTTTATTACTTTTACAGTTCTTGCCAAGAAATTGAAATGCTGGCCTTTAGCACATTCAGTTGGGATCCAATTTCAGGCAAGTCCTGTTTTGAGAGATTTTCTTACAGCCCTTTCCATTACTTTACTGTACCCCCACAGATTTGATAGGATTTCATAACTTTATTAAAACTTTGTTTTATTGTCATAGCTCTTGGTTATATCAATTATGATAACACTGTGCTCACTAATTTACTGTATAGATCTTGGAATAAGAAAAAGCTAGAAAACAAATAAAGAAAATAGGCAGATCAGACAAGTTAGAAAGTTTGTCCAGAATATTCAAAGTGGGGGCTGGGACTGCCAGGAGCATCTCTCAAATTACTAATACCCCAACTTTTCCTATTATTATTATAAAATATAATTTATAATAATATATAACATATCTTATTTGCCATGCCCATATTTCTAATTGCTTACCAATCAAAACAAGGAAATAGACCTGATGAGCAGATCTCACTCCCAGACACAAACACACACAAACAAGGTTGTTAGGAACCCCTGATCCAAACCACTTTATTTGGAGGTCAAACTAAAAGGGGTGAATACAGTAAATACAGTTTGCACATGTTGAAGCAGGCAGTGTTCGCAGAACATGGTGAGTGCAGTATCATCATAACCAAAAGAACCCATGGCTATATAACCCAAGTTGTAATAAACCATAGTTTTCCTTTTCTTTATTTTATTGTCAACAGAAAGTTTCCATGATACCAATTTCAATATCCATATGCCAATTCAATCAGAGTTGAGCCTCTATGGGCTGTTAGCTTATATTATGCTAAAAATTCCCACGGTTGCCCACTCTATTGCTCCATATTTTGAGCCTGTTAAATGATTCAAGTTATGCAATAAATATATAATACTGAATAAATAGTTCAAAAAATATCCTGCTTGAATAAATGTTTTGACTGTTAAATCAAATTCAAAAGACTTGACCCTCTCAAGAGCTGTTATACCAGAGGGTTATGTCCACTCATAGACAGTTATACTGCACTCAGTCTAGTAAAGGAGCTACAGATCTGTTGCTGTTTGTTTGCCAAAAAATATATGGCTATTTAATTTTGAAAAACTCATCAAAAGTAGATCATGGTTTTGGATGAGTTTATTGATGTTTGCTTGCCATCACTATGTAACATTCTTTTTCAAACCTTGTTTTAACCTTTCAATACTGCCAATACTCACATACCATGAATGACATGTTTTCCAAATGATTCCTGATGTTTTCTGACCCAATACAGGCTGCCTGAGATCCTCCCACACTTTTATAAATATAAACACTCAGATCTTCACTACCAAGTAAGACATGGTATTTCCATGTAAAACAATTAATACAAATGCTACAGTATTTTAAAGTAAAAAATAATCCAAATCATACATAATGATCAGGCCCTAAGTTTGGGTTGAATATTAATACAATTGCTGAGAAAGCTGTATTGCATATATAATCTATAGAATATGTATCAGGTTGTCTTCTGAGCTTCTGCCCTGGGTCACCTCTCATTTGTGATAATGACGGACGTGCCAATGTAATGTGGGATCTCTCTTTGGCTGTCAGGGGACGAGCTGGAGCTGGGGCTGTTGCAGCTGTAAGAGGCTGTCTCTTTACCATGGTAACTGTAGCCATCTGTAAGATGGCTCAGTGCGGTAAAAGGGTGGGCTTTAATGGAATTGTGTTTGCTCAAAACTTCATGAAAGTTCAAAGACATGTGTTGAGCTTGGGCTGGAAGTCCCACCCCAACCCCCATACCTGTTAACATTCTCCTGTCCTCAGGAGACCTGGGCTGCAGCTCCGTGGCAGCTTCACGCTGCTGGTGGCCATCAGAAGGCTGTTGATATTCTACAGCGGGGTGGCTGTAGGGAGCCTCCATCATACACAGCCTCCTCCTCTGCCCTAGCGCCATTTGCACAGGGAGAGGCTGGCCAAGGCTGTGCAGCAGGCCACCCTGCTCACCTTTACCTAGAACAAGGCCACTGAGCAAAGGGCAGGCCAGGGCCCAGTCACCCTGAAGTCTCTTAGCACCTTTTGTATTACGCTGGACATCCTGGCTCAAAGGTTCACTGTCCTTGGTGGCATGAGCATTGGGATGTGGACAAACCTCAGGCACGCTGTGTACAAGCGTGTAAGATTCGTAGGGTTCTTCCTTCAGCCTGCCAGTAGAATGGTTTGTGCTGCTGGAACAGTGATGGGAGATCTTATCGCGGTAACTACGGTCAGCTGTCAGCATGGGGCCTGATGAGGAAAACAATAATCAGGAGCTGAAATTATACCAGAACTTCAGCGGAAAGAGAGAGGCAGTATGATTAGGGTATTTTAACTAAAATGTTAGTCCATCAGTGTGTTACAGGTCCAGTACATGTGATTTAGTGGCATTTAGCAGTGTAGTTACAGATTGCAACCATATTAATTTTATTGATATTTTCTATTTGCACTCTTTCCTACTTCGTACTACAACTGCAGCACAATAATTTCCCTCAGGATAAATAAAGTTCTTATCTGATGTCATCTTATTATTTACTGAAGGATAATTCACAGTTTTTGAGGGGTAACAGTTCACACTACTGAGATTAGATTATTCAGTCAAGCTAGTTCTAGTAGGATCAAGATCTCTTTTGCACAAGAGACCTGACATTACATACAAACAAGATCGCAGGATAATTCATCACACATGCAATTAAATGTTAAATAACTTAGAATGTCTACTGATATGTCTACTGGCATACAAGATTGTATCATCAGCATAGAAGTGAATATGGTGTCCTCTGTCAACCATTTGGAGGTTTGAAACCATAAAAAACAACACTCTGGACTCCAGCTGTTTATGTCAGTCTCAATTCAATTCAATTCAATTGTATTTGTATAGCGCCAAATCATAATAGAAGTTATCTCAGGACACTTTTCAAAATAGAGCAGGTCTAAATAGTACTAAAATTATTTACAGAGACCCAACAGTTCCCACCATGAGCAAGCACGGCAGCAAGGAAAAACTTCCTTTTAAGAGGCAGAAACCTCAGACAGACCCCGGCTCTAGGTGGGGGGTCGTCTGTCTCGACCAGCTGGG